GCAGACCGTGGGAACCTGGGGTTGTTCCCTAGAGTTATCCATCTCCATGCTTCGTCCAACGTTGCTTGAGGAAGCCATGAGTGTTGAATTTTTTCAAGAAAGAAAAGAACTGTGAAAGTTTAGAGAGAAAGGCCTTTTGAAGCGTTTCCCACAGACGACGCCAAATGATGGTGCGTGATTCGGTCACTCCTAGTGGCACTCGCGTGGCTTCCCAAGAAGTACCTGAGATGAGGAAGAAGAAGAATCCCCAGGGGGTTCGCCCGGCGGGAACGCTCCGAAGATTAAGTTAGTATTTTGAGTAAGAAGCAAAGAGAAGATAAAAACTAAGAGTGAGGTAGCGCAAGAGATTTCAAGAAGATCCCCCGTTCCTTGATACTAGCTCCTTATAACAGAAATCCATTGTATCAGGCCCACAGGCCTCTGATAGGGCGGGTATAACCGCCACTGTCAGCCTGCCGCAGCCGTTATTGACAGGGCTAAGGTGGCACACGCGGGGCCGTCGCCGCAGTCATGTGTAAGGCACCTTCTAAAGGTGGCAGACACGATGCTGTTTGACAAGGGATATGGCCGTTGTTCCCAGATTTGTCAGGTACGGTGGTCGGCAAAAGGTCTTCCTGCGATGTGACGGACTACCCTTCTGCGAGCTACCCTGTGCCGGGTTATCCTGTAAGCGGCGTGCTGCCTGTGGCAAGCTATGCCGAGCTGGCTGACCCGAGGTGTCTATAACTCGGGGTGTCCAGAGAAGGATCGGTGCGTTCCTGTCTGGGAGTGGCCCGAGGTCCATTAGGAGGAGTTCGGGCCTCAAGAGAGGTCAGGGTACCCCGAACTCGGGGCGCCTTAACCCTGGGGATGAGGTGCAGATAAGGTGGCCCCCAACGAGTAGTTCATCCGCCCAGTTGCCGAGCTCAACTCGGTGGGACCTTCCCTCCGAGTTGTGGTTGCATCCGTTGCGCTGTCACGCTGAGACTGTTTGTGCAAGGTCACGCTCACATGTACCCGTGCTGCAAGATCGGGCCAAATCACCCTGCATCATATATATATATATATGTATATGTATATGTATATGTATATATTTAAAGTACAATGCAATTCGGGTCATAATGACATTAAATATATATGGATGTTTGTTGTGGGTTCCTTATAAGTCATAAAAGCTAAATCCAAATACCACACGTCATATATGGTTGCTCTTACTAGGATTGCTAATACGAATTCACATGTTCATTTTGATAACTATTATTAGACATAAAAGTATCGAATATACAGAAAAATAGAAAATGTGTACTTGGGTTGTTTGCACTCTCTTCATATATCTCTCTTTTCACTGTGCAAAACAATGATTTCAGATGTATCTGTATCTATAACCATACTGCTATTAAAAAGTGGGAATGATGTCTAACAAATTTGGGCCTTTTTTATTATCTTTTTAAATTTGGTCCCCGTACATGTGAGGGCAAAAAATGTAATTTGAAAACTACTTTCCACTTCATTATGTGCACTCTCATTAAGTCTCATATTAAGGCATTAATTCCCATTCTTTCTCATTTAAATCAAATAGGTCAACCTATCATCCCATAATTAAATAACAAAAGTATAAAAAATATATAAGATAAAGAAAACTTCTAAAAAAAATCAACCACATCTCCAATATATTAGATAATTATCGTATTAAGCAAAGAAAGTATAACAAATAATAAGTATTGTTAATGATCAAAATGGAATACAAGATTTAAAACTGATTCAAAAATGAAACCATTTTATTGTCTAGGTGTTGGGTTATTAGTGGTTCAGCCATTTGGAATAAATGAATCAACCCATGATATCATAGTTAAATAATAAAATTATTAAAATATAAAATATAAAGAAAACAAAGAAAAAATTAAGCACATCTCTAATATTATATATTAATCAATTAAACAAAAATAAGTGTGATAAACAAAAGATATTTTTATTAATGATGTAAATAAAATACAAAATTTATACCCAATTTGAAAATGAAACAGCTTTTCTATCTAGGTGGTGGGTCAATAATTTAACCTTCCAGGTCAAATGGGTCAACTAGTTATGATATCAAAAATTAAATAATAAATATTGAAAAAAGATAGAAAACAAAGTATAGAAAAGTATATAGATTGTAGAAAACATTTGGGCACATTTCTAATATTATATATTCATCATATCAAACAAAAATAATCATAAAAATAAGATATTTTTTATTAATGATAAAATGAAATACAAAACTTAAATTGATCCAAAAGTAAATTGGTATTTCTATCCAAATGGTGGTTCAATGTTTCAAAGCCATGATATTGTAATTAAATAATAAAAATTTGATACACACACAAACGCACAAATAAGGCATGAGCCTCATTTAATTCCTAGACTTGGCTTGGCTTAACTTGCCTAACTTTTTATAAATGAAGGTAAGGCCTCCACTCCCATTCTTGAGTATTGTGGGACTTGAACAACACTTTGAGTGTTACATTGAGTATTGTTTCAAGTCATGCACTACCTATGAATGAAAATGAATGCCTTGCGTAGGAGGACTACTCTCGTATTTGAGTTGACTCAAGTGAAAGTTGACACTATGTTGATACATGTATCAACTCATGAATACGTTTGTGTTAAAACTTTTATATTTTATATATAAATAAAATATCTGCTTGACTATGTTAATGGGTCAGGGATAAGACATTAGTTCTTTTTTTTTGTATCTTATCCATTTCTGTTATTAATAACAATTATTTTCATTTTTAAACATAATTTTGTTTAATATGATGAATATATGTTCATTATAAATTTTATAATATATGATTTTTATTTTATAGTTTAACTTATGACTTCAGAAGTTTAGTTGTTTGAATGAGAGGGAAATGTGGTTTCAAATTTTCAATTGAGTTTTAGAATATTGGTTTTAGTTTATCATTGTGTTTTTATCCCATAGTCAAATCAACTAGTCATAATTGTTGACTTATCACCCAACTATGATTTTGGGGGTCCATTTACCACCTAGTTGCTTGTTAGAAACTATTGACTTAGTCAATACTCAATAACATGGTGACTTGTGTAATTCAGCCATTTAGCTGCTTAACCCAAAAGCAGGATCATAGGTAGATATTAATTATATTTTTTCTTGGTTTTTTTATTTCGTTTTCATTAACAATAAAAAATAACCTTTATTTTTTAGTATGATGAATATATAACATTATAGATATTGTCATATTTTTCCATAAAATTTAATTTTTTTCAACATATTGTATTTTTATCTATTTTTTAATTTTTTAATTTTTAATTATGATATCATTGGTTAATACTATTGATCCACCACATGGATTGAAAATCATTTTGTTGTTGGGTTAATTTTAAATGATGTATTCGGCTTATAATTATTAGTAAAAGAGTATTTTATTTTTTCACACTTGTTTTTGTTTAATATAATGAATATATGATATTAGAGATTATGTGTAGTTATTTTTTTTGTCCTTGGTGTGTTCCTACTTGTTTTAAATAACCATTATTAAATTATAACATCATGGGTTGATCCATTTGATCTGAAAGGTTGATCCATTGACTTGACACCTAAATAGGAAAACAATTTTATTTCTAGATCAATTTTAAAATTTGTATTTCATCTACATCATTACTAAAGTAATTCTTATTTATCACTTTTTTGTTTAATATGATTAATGTATAAAATTACATGTGTCTATTTTTTTGTGTAATTTTCAATAATTCTTTGTATGCTTTATATGTTAAAAAAAGTAGTATTTAGATATAACATCATGGATGGGCTCATTTTACCTGAATGGTAGAACCATTAACTATCTACTCAAATAGGAAAATGGTTTTATTTCTAATTTTATTGATTTTAAGTTGTTTATTCTATCTCCATCATTAATTAGTAAGAATAATTCTTATTTATCATATTTATTATATGATGAATATATAATATTAGAGATGTACCCAAAACTCTATAGATTTTTTTTTTGTTTATATCTATTATAAATTTTAAAATTTTCTCTAATTATGGAATCATGGGTTGACCTATTTGATCCAAAAAGATTGAACTACTTACCCACTACATTAAAACAACCAATCTCATTTTCATGCTAGTTTTAAAAATAGAGATATTTATACTTTTGAAATTACCATTTATGGATTTAACTAGTAAAATTTAATATTGAGAACAAAGATGCCTTAAATACAAGACTTGTGAGAGAGAATGAGAGTTATAATTAATACCTTAAACATGAGATTTAATGAAAATGAATAAATAAATTGAATACCCATAAGCTATGGGGAGCTATTTACACTATTGTATAGTTATAGACTAGAGAGAGAGAATTGCTTCATTTGCAACCCTAAATTAATTATTCCCTTCATTTGCCATACATTTAAGAATCTAACAGTTTGAAAGTTCAAGCCAAACACGGCCTAATTATTAAAGAATCAATTCAAACCAAACCAAATACGGCCTACTTATTGAGGAATCAGGATTCAATTTGACACTGTAGAGAGAAACGGAGTGTGTTGGGAAATTGGGATAGAGACGTTGTTAGAAACCGAATTTACACGCTCTGTCCTTCCTTGTCAATCTTGGACGCTTGGTAATCACACAAGTCTCGCTTCCCACAGAAATAAAAGGCAAAACCGTAATATCAACAAAATTCCAGGACATTTCTATTTTCACGCCATCTCTCTCTCTGTCTAAGAGGCCAGTCAATCACAAATGGGTCGAGCTCGATTCGATCCGAAAACCCCCATACAAGGAACTGAGGAAGGAAAGCTGGCGAGGAAAAACAATATTATATCAAAATGGGCGCAATGAATGATCCGACCCATGCCAGACCGCACGTGCTCTCTGCACTCCCAGATTCTCTCTCCTCCCTACAAAGACTCATGTCCACTCTCCTTCCCTCTGTTTTCTTCTTCTCTCTCCCACGCTCTGACGCTCTCCCTCTTTTTTCTTTCTAATTTCCAATACTTTCTCCGAGGAAAAAAAAAAAAAAAAAATAGAAGCAAGAGAGGGAAAGAAAGAGGAAACAGAGAGAGAGAGAGACAGACAGAGAGAGCGCGAGCTCTTACGATGCCGAGAAGACGAGCACAAGAGATCTCATCGTAAGAGCTGCAAGGAGGGAGGAGGTAAAGAGAGATGCACCCGTACAATCGGCTGTCGAGTAGCGGCCACAACACACCTTCACCACCGCAGTCGCCGCTCCGGTCCCCGAGGTATCGGAAGGGGAAGGGCGGGAGGCCAGGACTTCAGCCTCGGACACTCGCGCAGCGACTCGCGTGGACCTTACTGTCTGTCTTCCTCCGTCGCCAGGGCGTTTTCCTCTTCGCGCCTCTCATTTATATCGCCGGGATGCTGCTGTACATGGGCACCGTCTCATTCGACGTCGTTCCGCATATCAAGCCTCGCCCTGCCCCGGGTTCTGTCTACAGAAGCCCCCAACTCTATGAAAAGCTCCGGCCTGAGATGGACTCTGATAATTCTTCCGCCGATGGGGTCAGTTGCTTCTTGATTTCTTTCTTTCAAATCGATCGCTGGAGTCGAAATTTTGATTGACCTTGAAATAGAACATGATTCCAATCTTTTTATTAATTGAAATAGGGTGTAGATTTTGTGGTTATTTCTTCTACAAGATTTTGATCTATCAGTGTCTTGGATTTGTTAATTTCGTTGAGAAGTATGTATGGCACTAGATACAGCGGAGATCTGAAGAATGAGGTACTTTAGCTGAGAGTGGCTGTTCATATTTCAAAATAAGAAGGGAAGTGACATTTTTTTTTTCCGTTGGTTTGGAAAGAACTATTTTTGAGAACTTGGATCATGCAATCATCTGCTTTGCTTTTGGTTTTCCATATCGTGCTGCGTTGGTGTCTCTTTGGAAGTGGCAATGTCATTGGTTGGTGCCTGCCGAATGGAGATTTAGGTAGCTGAACTAATGTTACTCTTTGTATTATGGTTGTCGATGCCCTGACTTACTGGTTGCCAGATAAAAGTGTAGAAAGGATGCTTTTAGGAGAAATTTAGTAAGATTAAGAAATAAGTGGACATTGAGTTAGTACATAATGAACTATTATGCTTTATCATGCTTGGTGCATGGTGCACCTCAAAGTCCAACAAGAGAACTTCCAAATACGCTGTACTAGAAGTCTATGTATATATGGCCAAAACCATAGGTGCATCCTCTAATTTGCTTCATCGAGCTTTACATATTTTAGTTGATGGTTTATTGGTTGGCTTAAATTTGGCAAGTTTGCTAAAAGTTCAAAGATCAATCTGAGGTTTTTTGGTTTCAATGCAATTGAAATGCTTTGGGAAATTTCATGCTTGTTTCACATATCAGAACATGATTGAGTTTACTAGGAAAAGAAATTCATGCCACTGGTTTACCTTGCACTGAAAGAAATTGAAACTATCCTCCAAATTCTCACCTCTTTACTCCTACTATTATTTTACTCCACGTGATGTTATCAGTGTATTTTTGTGTGGTATACTCCTTTCTCTCTTGAAGATTTTGATGGTAACACCTACTTCTAAATCTGAAATAACAAAATGGTGTTGAGCCTAAAACCACAAGAAGTTACTAAAAAATGTGAAGTGAGTGCTGTCTTTGGGGAAGGTAGAATAAACAAGTTATTTTTGGGCATTAATCCTATTGGGTTTTGAAGACGAGTTTGCTACATTTGGGAGCATATAATATTTGAATCTTAGTGGGGGATTCAGTATTGTATGCTGCAAATGAACTATAATACTTATACTTGTATTTTGATGTTAAGGGGACTTTGCCCTTCCATGCTTTTTGATAATAACATTTGCTGACAGACTTTACACATTAGAAAAAGAATAAACTCTTAAGCTCAACTATCCAGAATAAACACATTATAGAAGGAAATACCAATGGTCAGTGTCCTAGTGTAAGCATCCAAATTATCTTTACCTGAGGTACTACAATGGGGTTTGGAAGTGTACCTTTCCAACTGGAATTAAAATTACTATTCTTTTTTTTTTTGGTTGGGCAAATGAGCTACAACAGGGGTAATTCTCCCCCAATTCTCAAATGCCCCAAACCCTGGAGAAGCCGTGAATGTAGGATTAATCCCAGGTCTCTGCTACAACCAGCCAGAGATCTTACAAGAAAGCTACTTGGAACCTTCAAGAACAGCATTTTTTCCTCTGGGAGTGGGGGAAGCTACTTAAACGAGGAATGAGGATTTCCTACATACAAGGACTTTTGTACATTTGTACTATGGATAAACATAACCTAAAGTTTGTCTTTTGGGGAGGTGAATGAAAAGCATGGAAATATTCTGGGAAATGAATGGGCATTCCGCAATGTACTTGTATACATCATTTTAGCAAGATAGTCAAAGATTGTCCACATGTAGAATTTATGAGAATCAGAGAAACTATGTAATCATATAGGCAATATGAAATATGCAGCTAAGAATCAAGTCAGGACTCTAGGATTTTATTTGCAGGACTGTAGAATTGAAAGACCATTGAATGAAAAAAAAAATGATAAGATCTCATTTATATTTTTTGATTTATTCTGAAGAGCTACATAACTTGGGGGGGGGGGGGGTAGCCCATCCCCCAATCCAGGTGCAGGCGGGATCCGATCCCAAGTCTCTGCTACAACCAGCAGGAGACCTTACCAACCCGCTGGTTGGCACCTTGCTGATCTTTTTCATTATATTCAACTTCACTAATGAGTACTATCAGAAAAAATTCACTTTCATCAATTGGAGAAGATTTTGTGTTACTCCTTTTATGAACAGATATATCATGCATATTGCTGATAAAAAATCAGATGCCATGCATAGAAGGATTAAGAAAGATGACGGTCATTTCTTTCTAGCATGTGATATGACTAAAGATGGTTGGGGCTTTTTTTCTGCCTTCATGTTCCATTCCATATGCATTAGAGGTTACATGCCATTCATTGCACATGAAGTACTTCAGGGATGGTCATCCATTTTTGAAGACAAGGGGCAAATAATAGAAGATCACATTGTTTGTGGTGGTACCATGGGTGCATATGGTGAGAATGAAGTAGAAGATTATTTGAAGGCAAATGAAGGGTGCTTTTGCAGATGTGCAGACATTTGTTCAATCTTGTTCAACTGTGTATTTGTGTTGAAGAGTTCAAAGCCAATATACTTGGATACCCATACAAGGGTGCTGTGTCGTGTTGGATACTTCATTTTTTAGTGTGTATATTGTATCCAATACTTTATTCAGCTGTCTTCTTGCCATATCCCAGGTAAGAGATTCAGTGGGAAGATATGGAAAAGGATTGAGGAATATAGTGAGACATTTATTATGAATGAGAATTTTCAATCCTCTTTAATTGTATATCACTTTATTTATATAGCAATAAAATATTTTCTTTGTTTTTTTGATAAGTAAAAAATATTTTCTTTGTTACCCATCAGAGAAATGAAAGAAAAATCGGGAAGTGTAGTTGTATATATATATATATGAACCTTTATAAGGAACTCATTACATAGATCCTTATAGATGAGTTTGATTTTCTTAGCCTTATTTGTTTCAAATGAAACAATTTTCTATGGAGAATATCTTTGGCAAGTGCAATAAAGTAACGGAAGACTTTAATAATAAATTATATCCTTTTCAAAATAATAGTTCAATTCCCCCAGCATTAATCGTGTTTTTATGCATGTGCATTTTTTTCCTTTTGTTCTCATAATTTAGTTGACCGTGTCACCATGAAAGGGAAATAACCCCTTTTAAGAATTTGATCAGACTTAGTTGGACCTTGATGGAGACCCAATTGTGCTTCACCCCTGTTGCCATTAATTGATCAGGTCAATGTCAACCTTATCAATCTGGCTTATCAGTTTTTCTTTAGGCCATTTTATGTTCTGGTTGACTTGGGTTGGACTAGGTGCATTCTAATTTACCAAATGTCTACAAAAGTTACCTTCATGATTTGTGACCATCATTTTGTTCCGATAAAGGATCTGCCTCCGCTCAGGCCCTTTAGTTTTTTTTTTTTTTTTTTTTGACAAGTAAATCAGACCCTTAAAAAATGTGTTCATTGTTTGCTCTGTTGTTTTTCTTACAAATTTATTGATTGTATCTTCTGCTATTTATGGAGATTTTCTGTTAACACATGTTATTAAATTTACTGCAGTTGGTGACTGTGTGGAGGCACCCTTACAGAGGTGGTGAGTGGAGACCATGTATAAACAAAACATTAGGAGGTATGGACTAGAGAATTAAAATTTAGGGATTTAATACTGTTGTTTGTTTTGCTACTATGCCTATCTATATGAACATTGATCTGCTGTTTCTGTAGATATTGGAAAGCATTTCTATGTTTTTACTTGACTTGGCTGGCTCTAATAAGAAGTTTTTGACAGATTAGTATAGCCATAAGCATTGCTTCATACAAAAAGTTCCTGTTTTGGTTGTTTTCATATGCAACAAGTTTTCATGTGCATTTTTTACTGCTTTATAGTTTATACAAGGATTTTTTTTCTCCTTTTGGAAATGCTTGTAGTGAGAAAAGCCAAAATTCCACCTTTTAGCAATATCTTATTATGTAAATTATTTTGATCTCCTTCCAAGCTGAGGGTTAGTTTGTGCATGGACATTTTGTGTGGGAAACTCTCCTTCCTTACATGTTCTTATTTCTTTTCATAGTCGTCCTTAAATGCTTCTCACATTACTTATTAAAACAAAAATAATTCTATTTGTATGGTGATTCTCTTTCTGTATTTGAGAATCAGGAATTATAGCACCTCAAAGGCCTTCTTGGCCCAAAAGGACAAAAAGGGGTGGTTATAGCACCTCGAAGGCCTTCTTGGAAAGCCATTGTTGGAGTCTTGTCTTCCTTTCATCCTTTCATTAGATTTGATGTGTGCTCAGGTATCTGTTTTGGGAGGATATTTGGATTGGGAACACTCCCCTTAAGGACGGGTTCTTGGTAATGTATTCTCTTTCCCTAAATAAATTCAAAGCTATTTCCTCATTCTATGTATCTAAGAGGACCTGGCATTTGGGCCTGAGAAGAGGGTTAAGGGATTCAGAAATGGCTTGTGCAGATAAACTATTCACTCTTTTGAGTTCAACTTTCCTAGATCTTTCTTACCCAGACAATAGAATATGGATAGAATCTGCTTCAGTTCTTTTTTGATCAGAAGAATCCACTTCAGGGTTCTTCTCTTGCTCCTCTTTTTTCAATGCTCTAATTCAGCCTACTATTGCGCCTGTCTCCTTTCTTGCTAAAGAAGTGTGGTGTACTCCTATTCCACTAAAAGTTAGGGTTTTTGTTGGGAAGTGGCTCTCCAAAAGATCAATACCATGGACGTACTTCAAAGAAAAAAGGCCAAGTTGTTGCCTTTCCCCACATGTTTGTTGTCTTTTCTTAAGGAGTGGTGAGACAATGCCTCATCTATTGATCTCTTGTCCTTTTGCTTCTTACTTATGGGATTGGTTCTCCTCTCTCTTTGTTGCAGGTGGAATCCCCCCCCCTTGTGTGTGCTGAACCTTTTTGACTCTAGTTTCTTCCAACAACTAAAGAAAAGGGATAGGGGTAATGTGGAGAATAACAAGAGTAGCCATCCTTTGGTTGATTTGGGAAGAAAGAAATAATAGGATTTTCCAAGGGCAAGAAAAGTTCAAGGAAGCACTTGTTGAGTGCATTACCATCAAGATTCTGCATTGGCTGAAAGCTTTGCAACTTTTCAAGGACTTCTCCTCAGTTGATTTAATTAGAAGTTGGAGTACTATAGCCGTATCCTCTTCCTCTTTTATGGTTCAAGAGAGTTGGTCCCCATTGCTACAGTTTAGGGTGAAGTTGAATTTTGATGGAAGCTCCTTAGGTAATGTAGATCCTTCGGGAATTGGGGGTGTCTTTAGAAATGAGGAAGGAAGATGTCGACTCTATACTCGGGCCCGATTGGGGTGGGAGACTGTTTAAGGGCAGAAGTCAAGGCCTTACTCCAAGGCTTGAGATTGGCAGAACAATGGGGAATGCAACACTTAGAAGTGGAAGGAGACTCCAAGCTGGTAATAAGGTGGATGCAAGTTAGAAATCTTGGAGTGTGGTCACTCAGACTCAGACAACCACTAAGAGACTAAGCTGGTAATAGGGTGGATGCAAGTTAGAAACCTGGGAGTGTGGTCACTCAGACAGCCACTAAGTGAAATTGTTAACTTGGCAAAGGAGCTTGGGGTGCAATTTAAATGGGTAAGAAGGTCAGCAAATGGAATGGCTGACGCTTTAGCTAAGCAAGGAGTTGATAGAAAAGCTTTGTTTTGGGCTAATATTGTTTTGGCTTCTCCAACCATCCTTCGGGTGGTGATATTTGTACTCTTTTTTTTTAACTTCATCAATGAAAGTTAATATTTCCTATCAATTTTTTTGACATGCAACTACTCTATTAAATGCATATTATATCATAATTTGTATTTGAAATATTGATAACAAAATTATATTTGAAATATTAAAATTAATTTATTTGAAATGCTATTATCTTTAGATTCAATGATTTGCTATGTTTTGAGAGGAAATTAATGTTATTAGTGATTTTTTTTGATAAGTAACTCTAAGATTTTATTTATATAAATTGAATCTGAACAAGCGTTACAAGCATCCTTTGGATAGGATAGAGGTTACTACCACCCCCAAGTATACAATATACCAATTACAATTGAGCCCAATACAACTGATCTCTATTAACCCCTTGTTTTGCTAAAGCATCAGCCAACCCATATGCAGATCTCTGCACCCATTATATTTCATATTGATGCTCCTTGAGTCCTTGCAAATCACTTCATCTGTTTTAGTTTGTTTCTGTATCCCCACATTGACTTCTTACTATCCCTTAGCCATCTGATCACAACCTTGGAATCACCATCAATAATTAGCCTGTCCAATTTTCATGTCTCTAGCCTGTTGCAGTCCATGAAGTACAGCATAAAAGTTCAGCTCCTGTGGAATCCCCAAATGTAATTGATCCAGAAACATTGCAACAATATGGCCATCTTTGTCTCTAAAAACTCCTCCCACACCGGAAAGACCTGGGTTTCAATTTATATGCATGCTAATGGGATGGCAGATTCTCTAGCAAGGCAAGGGGTTGAGAGGGAGCGATTATTTTGCACTCAGCTTCTTTAAGGAGCAAGTGTTCACCTGCTCATGTGGGCAAGGGATGGGTAGGGAGTGATTGTACTAGGCTTAGTTGTTCTATCTGTTTATAGGGGTACTCATACCCCAGTTGTAATTCTATGTATACTTTTGTTTATATTAATGAAATACTTTTTGTTATCTATCGACTGGGGTACTCGTACCCCAGTTGTAATTCTATGTATACTTTTGTTTATATACTTTTGTTTATATTAAGGAACAAACCTAGAGTTATAGTTTTTTCTTTGTAAAATTTTATCATCTAGGTGATGCCTAGGTCATTCCAAGAAAGCAATCCCATTTCCAGATTCAGCCTCTGCTGCACCTCCTCTATTTTACTTCTGACAGACCCATATGACTTTGGAAACTCTGGTGGGTGGCGTAGGTATGACTAGGGTAGTTGGAGTCCAATGGGTGTTGCCCTCACTTACATTTGTTCTCTAGTTTCTTTCCCAGGCTGATGGCTGCCCTGTAATATTATCTGTGATAACTTGATATCTGTACATCAGTACATAAGTGTTTCATTGTGTAAGACACTTCAATTGTTAGTGTAGAGTTTGTCTGTAAAATCTTGACCATCTTGTTCTTTGGGCATCATTGTTCCCAGTACAATTAGGAAGCCAAGAGAATTGGAATGAAGTAGAGATCCTAGTGATCAGAGATTTCTATCTAGTCATACTTGTGAAACAAGAAAAGAAAAGTTTCTCCCAAAAGCACTGATAAAAAAAAAAGTTTCTCCCAAAAGTGTGGTATCCATTTGATTTGGAAACCATCTCATGGGCCTTGTCTGTATGAGGGTGTTCTGGTCTCCTATGGTTTCTTTAGTCCCATGGGCATGCCCACATTACACTCCCAAACTGAAAAAGGGCAGAACTAGTCATTGATGCTATTTTCATGTTTGATGAGTACATATACAATCACTTACATGTATCTTTCATGGGCCTTGTCTGTATGAGGGTCTTCTGGGCTCCTATGGTTTCTTGAGTCCCATGGGCATGCCCACATTACACTCCCAAACTTAAAAAAAGGCAGAACTAGTCATTGATGCTATTTTCATGTTTGATGAGTACATATACAATCACATACATGTATCTTTCACTAGCTGCTCTGTGTGTGCATGTTGCCTTCCCAATTTTGTAATTGTAGTAATGATTTGTTCTAAGTTTTAACTTGCGTATGTTTCCATAATATAACAGATTTACCTGAATCAAATGGCTACATTTATGTTGAAGCAAATGGTGGCTTGAACCAGCAGAGGACATCGGTTGTTTTTATTCCTTAGTTGTGATTCTTTCATTATTTATAAATCTTTCATATTCTTCATATTGCTTTTTTATGCCACAAGGGATCACCATACTGCTTCCTGACTTACATTTTCAATATATTTACTGCCTATATTTTGTAGATCTGCAATGCAGTTGCTGTTGCTGGTTACCTAAATGCAACGCTTGTGATCCCAAATTTCCATTACCATAGCATTTGGAGGGATCCTAGGTTTGTCAATGCTTCTAATTTTCCCGAATCTAGTCTGTAAATGGGATATTATTATTGAAGATTATCTAGAGTCTTGGTGGGTAGTCAGAGCTTTCTATATTAGATAATTCTTTGAACCAATAGATTTTTATAAGCCTATCTGCTATGATAATATCTTTTTCTAATACAAACATCTTAGATATGGTAAATGCTTATATACATATATTAAGTAGTCTACTCATCCCTTCTTTTCTGATGGATTGGTTTAATGATATTTAATTTTTTTTTTTGGTAAGATATCTATTGTGCTAGGAACTATCCTGTTATATACTGGATATGTTTTTATCTTGGCATATATTCTTTCTGGAATTATGATAGATTTTTATTTTTCTGCTACATTTTCTTAAAGACCATGTCATATGATCTGATTTTCTGTGAAGTTCTTGATATTCTTGTTTTAATTGGCATTTCAATTGGTTGTATGGATGAAACTGTTGAACTTTTTGTTTTAATTCTTTTTTTTCTTTACAGCAAATTCAAGGACATCTACGATGAGGAACATTTTATTAGTACCTTGAAAAATGATGTACAGGTGGTCAGTAAAATCCCTGACTTCTTAATGGAGCGATTTGACCGCAACATGAGTAATGTTTATAATTTCAGAATAAAGGCTTGGTCTCCAATTCGGTACTACAAAGATGCAGTTCTCCCAAAGTTACTTGAAGAACAGTGAGTTAAAATATTCTTTATTCTCAAAAAAAAAATCTTTATTGTATACATTTTCTTTTACTTGCTTCCTGTGTATATGCGTGAAAATTGTAAATGTTGCTTTGAGAAAATTGAAAAAGTTCCCTGTTCCCTTTTCTGAGACTATTTTCCAAGGACAATTACTCACTCTGGCATGGGAGTTATTTGTTGAGAGTGAAGCACTATGTTACAAACTTGGTTGCCTATCACCATGTGTTGATAACTTAGAAGGTTCTCCTCAAGTTAATTATCCAATTACAAAAAGGATGTTAATTGTCATTGATACCACATATCTCTAAAACATAAGACTCTCTGTGCATGATGATGTTAATTTATTCCTTGTCTTTTTTAATGTATAACATGCCTATAGCAATCGGAGGCAGTTGCAGTCAAGAAGGTGAGTAATGTATCGGGTGACGATGTGGGGGAGAGAGGAAACGTCTAATTTCTTGGTGGTGAGAACAGTAATAATGTTGAGGGAGATGAGGAAATTGAAGGTATGAATCAAGTTGGGTCAGAAGTAGTTGAGAAGGGAGACTTTGTCTACTGAGAGGTTTGTTTGGCTGTGATGTTTATGAGGAGGTTGAGGAAGTCATAAAGAACAGGAAAGGGGATGAGGATCAGCAGACGGCAGAGTGGAGTAGGATCAAATGTAATCAAACATGTTATTCATCAAAACAATACTTCTGAAAACATAGCTGGAGGGATTTTTGTGAAGTGGCTATTGGTAAGTTGGGTTTGGATGTTGGAAGAGGTAGAACTATGAATCAAGGCCTTGATTCGAGTGGGAGCAACACAAAGAAGTTCAGATCTTCTGTTCATGAACTAATGGATAAGAGATAAAAATGTTGGTATTGGTAGAAGAAGTGAAGGATAAAAGGAAATAAAAGTTATCGTCCGGTTCATATTATTCGAGGTGTTCTCCAAACTGAAAAATGGATTCTGAGGAGCTGGTCCAAGCAAAAAAAGATACAAAATTTGCACCTGGCTTAGTTTGGCATCCATTTGTTTGTAATTCTGATTTGCATCCATTTATATTTTTTATATTATGATATAATACTATTACAATAACTATTATTACACTAGACTTGTCTCCTTATATTTTACTATCTCCTAGGAACAGCATTGAAGAAGATGCTCTAGTAGTTTAGTGGATTCTAATATTCTGAATAGTAAGAATCCTGTTTCCAAGTGTATTTAATTAAAACGGCTTCATTAAGATCTGACAATTTTCCTTTGGTATGGATAATACAGGGTCATAAGAATTTCTCCTTTTGCAAATCGTTTGTCATTTGATGCTCCACCAACTGTCCAACGCCTTAGATGCTTGGCAAACTATGAAGCTCTAAGATTCTCAAATGCTATAGCAACTTTTGCTGAAACTTTGGTTGCAAGAATGAAAGAACGCAGTGCAAAGAATAATGGGAAATATATTGCAGTACATCTACGATTTGAAGAGGTGGGCTTTCATATGAAAGGAATTCTTTAACCTTACTGTTTATTGTGGCCATTGCCTTTGGCTGTTGAGCTCTTGACAGAATCTTGCTAGGAAATGTAGGTTGTAATTTTTGTTGTTTGCAGGATATGGTTGCCTTCTCTTGCTGTGTATTTGATGGTGGAAAGGAAGAGATGCAGGAAATGAATGCTGCAAGAGAAAGAGGTTGGAGAGGAAAGTTCACCAAACCTGGTCGTGTTATAAGGCCTGGAGCAATCAGGATTAATGGGAAATGCCCCCTTACACCCTTAGAAGTAATAATCCTCTCACATATCCATTTTCTCTTACATAGTTATTTGCAGTTGCCTACCTGGCCTTTTCATGTTTGTTCATATATTTGCTCCTCCAATCACACAGGTAGAGAACGTATTTAGTTCTTTTATTATTCAGTAGTGATTCAAGCTGCATAGAAAGAATCTAAGTATGACCCAATAAAGACGATTAATATATGTAATGATTGTGAAAAAAGTATAGTTGTAATGGCAATTTTAAAAGTAATAGAATGTCAAATTTCACTATTTTACCATTTCACTTCTATCCTTTTTTCAGCTGCTTGGGTTTTCTATCGTTCTTTTTCTTTGCCTTTTGCTTTCTAGTATAATACTTAATCAGAATAGGCTATGATAGTGGAATGGTACAGGGTCAACTAATATCATAATAGTGGTATGCTGAATGGTGGGGAAAGATATTCAGACTTGTATGGATGGAACAGGAAGTGGATTGGTGGTTGTAGAGAGGATTCACTGTTTCAGATACAAAAGCTAAGTGCTGAAGACCAGCACAACAATTAAAAGGATTAGAAAGAAATATTTTAAAGAGAAGAGATAGCATAACCATATGCTGTAGAAATAGATCTCAAGCTCAACAACAAGAACATGTTAGAAGAGAAACAAAGATAAATTCATAAGCTGTTTCATAAAGAAAAGGTATCAACTAAAAGTTTCGCAGACATCTAATTATGTATACCTAAGAGACAATCCAATCATGAATCAATGCGTCATCACCTTGTTCTCTTGTAATAATTTTTTATTTTAATGATTTTTTTTTATTTATTATAAACAAGTATCTGTAGCATTCCCAAATCAGTTCTGGTTTACAGAAATCTTGGTTTCTTTGTAGTGATCATGAACATGATCATCGTCATCCGAGCCTTATCCCAGCTATATGGGGTTGGCTACATGAATCCTGTTTCACCCTGTTTAATGCCATATCCATTGTTAAGTTATGAGCACTTGAGAGTCATTTCTACCCCTAGCCCTTCCAGTGTTTTAAAAGCGCAAGGCACAAGGGACAATTTGCACCTGAGGTGCAAGGCGAGGCGTGTGTTTCCACAAAAAAAAAGGTGAGGCGTGTGCCTTTTTGAAGCAAGGCATAAAAATACAAAAAAAATGCTAAAAAATAAAAATGTCAGAAAATTCAAAAAAATGCCAAAAAATTCAAAAAAAATGCAAAAAATAAAAATATTAAACATAGTACTAATAAGAAATATAAACTTAAATTTTAAAATTAATGTTTTAAAAAACCTATTATCTAAAATTAAAATACATAAACATAACATGTAAAGCATATTCAAATGAAAAACTAAAAATAAAATCAAGCATATAAAACATTTTCAAGCATGTAAAGCCCACAATCTCTTTTTTTCCGCAATTGCATTACTTCAAGTAGCTAATGTGATGTAAAACATATTACACTCCTGATTCTACGAGTCGCCTCCGTCCACAAACTTAATTTTGCATTTGATCATTTATTAGTTTCATCAATTAAAACAATGTCATTGACAAACAACATGCACCATGGGACCTCTCCCTGAATATATATATATATATATATATATATATATGATGAATAACTGCAAGTTTCATTAAGAAAATCAAGAACAGTGATTACAAAGCAAGCCAATTAACAGTGAAAGATAGACACTCTTATCTCTCCCCAAGAAAGTTTTCTTTATCTTACAGTTGAGCCCAAGACAGTTGATCTCTCTCCCCATCCCTTGTTTAGCTAAAGACTCTGCCAGGGAATTAGCACTTCTTTTAATCCATTGTAGCCTTACATCCATGTCTTTTATTATTCAACTGAATTACTTACTTTCATTGTTGTAACTTCACATTTTTGTCTCTTCACTTTGTAGCCTGCCCACAACTGGTTGGAAATCTACTTCAATGATTAGCTTCCTTAGATCCAAACTTCTTGTTCTTTGTACTCTTCCATTAGAGTTGGAATTTGTGCTTTTAAAGAGTCACCTACTCCAATCGAGCCTGAAAATGATGTGATTACTTTGCCCTCATTATCTCCGAATACTCCCATACCTAACAAACCCGGATTTCTCTAATTGTTTCCATCAAAGTTGAGCTTAGTGAATTTGCTTTCTGGTGGGAGATCAATGAGGATTGCTAACAGTTTTGCCTGTGGAAGAGTTAGCTACTTCCTTCAAATTTCCAAAGAAATCATCTGTTGAGGTTTTTTTTTTTTTTGATCAGTAACAGGAAACTTTATTAATGATATGAAACTATGTGAAACTTTAGGTACAAAAGGGGGAGGTAAAATGTCTTACCTCCCCACCAACAGAATACAATGGAAAAAGGTCAAAAGTTAGCCCAAAAGAAAGATTCCCTATTCATCCCTTGCTTGGCTAACCCATCAGCAAATGAATTAGCAGTCCTCTTCACCCAGCTGTAGTGCAACAGAATATCCCTAATCATCCATTTGAATTTTTTCTTCTCATTGTTACAACTCCACAAGCCATTGTCTTCTTCCTTTAGCCACCTAATCACCACCTCCGAGTCACCTTCAAGGACCAAACATTTGATATTCAACTCCCTTGCTCTTTGGATACCTTCCAAGGCTGCAAGAACCTCAGCCCTAAGAGAGTCTCTTCCAATTGGGCCTGAAAACATGGCAATGATAACCCCATCCTCATTCCTAAACACTCCCCCAATCCTAGTAGGCCCTGGGTTCCTTAAGCAGCTACCATCAAAATTCAGTTTTATGAACCCAGAGGGAGGAGGGGACCAAGAAGGACTACGAGTCCTCTTACATAGGGCAGAGGAAGCTATCTCTTTCCAATTTTTTATCAAATCAGCCACATAATAGCCTGAGAACAGCTCCACAGTTTTCAGCCAATGGGCTACCCTTAACAGAATTAGATCTAATAAGTTTTCCAAGGTTCTTTCCTTGTCTGAAAACGTTCGTAAATTTCTTTCTTCCCATAGTGAAAGGGATTCAAGATTTATGCCAATGGACCACTCTAATTATAATGTTGTTGAGCTGGGCCTAGTTGTTTTTTATTCTTATTTTAAGCTATTTAGTTAGGAAGTTGTTGGGCTTTAGGCCCATTAGTTTATGTTTCTAAGTTGTGACTGTTCAACCACATTACTAGCCACATTAGTAAGTGCATCCTTGTAATATCTCTTCTTTTAAGTTAAGTATAAATATAATGAGGGGTTGGCGGCTAGGGTTAATTTCAAGAATCCTGGTTGACTTCCTACTCTGTTCTCCCTCTCTTTTCTTCTCCACTACTGAAATCTTTATCTTCCTCCCCTTTCCTTTCACAAGAAATTCAACTAAATCTACAATCAGTGATTTCTACTTGGTATCAGAGCAGGCCGAAGGTTCTTTGAGTTGTTTCCTCATGCAGCCCTAGATCGGCCGACTACATGGTGATTTAAGAGGCTGATCGAAGTTCTTAGGTAAGCCCAGTTTTTGGATTTTTTGATGGATCTGTGTGCCCTGTAGCTGGTCTAGGGTTTCTCATCAAAATCAGGAAAAAACTGGAGAAAGGAGAAGAGTCCTGTTTYTGTTGGACTCTTCAATTTTGACCTAGGAAGTGGCGCCCTAATTTTTTAGGGTTCCTTGGAGTTTTTTGTAAGGGGCGGTTCAAGTCCTACTTGATTTGGAGGCTTCTAGAGAGAGCGACTGCCTCTTCTCTCTCTTCTCCCGTCCCACAGAAAAGAAATCTTTTGTGAGAAGATAGTCTAGGACACTAGAAAGGTGTTGTTGGTTTCAGAAGTGTTTCGTTTGATCTTGTTACATATTTCAGTTATTTTCTTTACATTTTTTGAGAAGCATGGAGGGTCACGGAGTTGAAAATAAGCCCGAGAGTGAATGAGACCAGCGGGAGGAGGTGCTGGAGACCTTTTCGGGACTGGGACCATTACTACAGTTAGGTTGGATGGTGCAAATTACTTAGAATGGTCACAATCTGCAAAGATGGCCATTGGTGCTCGTGGGAAATTAGGGTACATCACTGGTGAGGAAGTGAAACCCGAAACTAGCAACTCCCGGTGGGTACAAGAGAATTATATGGTGATGACTTGGTTGTGTAATTCCATGTTGCCCCATATAAGTAAAAATTTTTTATGGGCACATATAGCTAAGAAAATATGGGATGGGGTTGCAGAAGCCTATTCACAGAGGGAGAATGTTGCTAGGGCTTATCAGTTGAGAAATCAAATTATTTCTACAAGGCAGGGAGATAGACCTGTTGTAGCCTATTTTTCAGCCCTTAAAACCTTGTGGCAGGAGACTGACCATTTAGAGACATTTGCTTGGGAAACCACTAAGGATGCAACTACCTATCAGAAACATTTAGAGAAGTAAGGGTGTTTGAATTTCTTGCTGGCCTTAATCCTGAGTATGATATTGCAAGACATCTTCTTTCCAGGGACAGTGTTACCCTCTCCCAGGCATATGCCTTTGTGTTAGGGGAGGAGAGTAGGAGAGATGTGATGATGAAAAATCCAGTTTCTGATAAGTCTGCCATGGTGAGTACTGTGAAACCTAAACAAAGTGGAGATCGGGGTGGCAGTGAAATCAAGAAGGAAGATAAAAGAGATTTGATTTGTGACTATTGTAAGAAGCCTAAAAACACAAGAGATACTTGCTGGAAGCTTCATCCACATCTTGTGCCGACTAGACTGAAAAATAAGAAGGAAAATGCACACATGGCAGTTACTGGTGACATTCTGGCCCCTCCTACTACAGCTGCTGCAGTAAGGGCCGAACTTGAGAGGTATGGGCAACTTTTGAACCAGCGGGATACAACCAGTTCCAGTTCAGCAGCAAGCTGACAACAAGGTACAAGTGGCATTGGTGGAGTCCACTCTACTGCCTTTGCTCACATAGGTAGTTCACATGTCACTGCAAATTATGTTTCTACTTCAGGTAAGGAGGGACCTCCTTGGATTATAGATTYTGGAGCCTCAGAGCACATGACCCATAGCTCTACTATTTTTTCTTCTTACCAGCTCTG